ATGTAATTGACTTGACAAATGCAACCCATGAAGGATATATGCCATCAATGAGATAATATGCCTTATCATTTTTGTGACCATTCACGACATACTAACTTTTGGTGATTGACCTGCCAATACATCATTAAAAACAGAAGATTGGTGGAGTACACTAATATCATTAAGCGAACCTAAGGTTCCAAAGAAAGCATACCATATCCATAAATCATATGATGCAACGGCTTCTAAAATGATTGTTGGCTTTGCACTTCTTCCAACATATTGTCCAGCCCATGCACTTGGAGATTTTTCCATTCCCAATGCATGCAGTCAATACGACCTATCATACCCGGGAATCCACATTGATCTCCAACGTAGAGTAGTCTTGCCAAGTCAGCTTCGTTAGGCTTTCTAAAGTACTCGTCACTAAAATATGAGATGACACCATCTACAAAGTGCATGAGATCTTCCCTTGTTATAGATCCACTCATTCTCAAATATTTGTCAACAGTATCAACTGATGCCCCATATGCCAACACCCTCATAGCCGCAGTACATTTTTTCAATGGTGAAAGACTTTGTCTACTCGTGGCATAAGCTTTTTGTAGAAAATATTCATCATTAGCAGTAATACCATCCACTATACGACGAAATAAAGGTCTTCGCATTCGAAATCTTCTTCTTCAGAAGATAACATAGTCATACGTCGGATTGTCGATAAAATAGTCTCCCCAAACGCACTTCGCTCATCTCACGTTGCCTAGCACGATACCTCCTACTTGCTCTTGGAGGTTGATCTCCTATGAACATATTGGATGAGTTTGTGAACATATCCTCGATGATGCGATCAAGTTGTTGGTTTTATTGAACAACTCATGATTGTCATTCATCAAATTCGTCAATTGATTCTGGTGAAGAGTTTTCATTGTGAGACATTTTAGTGGATGTTTGAGGAAAATTGTATATATAAATCTTTGTTGAAAGAGAACAAATATATAAGGCATTATTGGGAGACAATGACATGTGAACCTGAGTGAAAGAGACCTATCATATTCAGAGACAATGACATGTGAACCGAATGAAAGAGACAACACATTATTGAGAGACAATGAACTAAGTGAAAGAGACAACACATTATTGGGAGAAAATGGCATGTGAACCTGAGTGAAAGAGACATGTCATTATTGGGAGACAATGACATGTGAGTGAAAGAGACAACACATTTTCTTTTGATGTTCAATGCACGAAATTCTTCAGAATAGTCAGATGCTAAAGAAGATTGTGATGCCTTACCTTTTCCTTTTCTCTTTGTCGCATCTCTACCCATATGACGTTAACCTGTTAAACCACCAACAGTTGGCAACTCTTGGTTGGTTTTAGCAGAATAATTTCCTTCTTCTGAAGTTCTTAATCCTTTTGTGCTTCCACCACTTTCTTCATATTCTACGTGAGAAAGTGTCGTGTCACGTTCTAACTGTAAAATCCACTTGGGATGTTTACTCATAACTTCGTTAAAAACAAGCAAGTCATTAAACTTGCTCCCACCTATCTCATAAATTGCATGAATCTCTTTCTCAACATCTTTCATACTCATTTCGCTCCTTTTCTGTCAGTATGCTTCTCTGTATGTAACAATCCATTTGTTTGCACTTTTGTTAAGTCATGCAAAACGAACTTTCATTTGATTTGCATTCCTGATTCCCAATCCTTCTGTATTTTCTGCTCAAGTTTCATCATAGTATTCTTTCACTCGTGACCAAAATGTTTGTTTCTTCTGGTTTTTGCCTCGAGTAGGTTCTTCACTAACGTAGATCCATGTTGACATAAACACCATATCTTCTTTGGTTTCTCATTTATCGGCTCTTGAACTCTTTTACGGTGTTTGGGTATTTTCAGAGGTAGGAACTTGATTATCATAGATGAAAAACTCAGATTTTTCATACCGTGTGCTTGGGTGATACTAAAAGCTACCAGGATGTTGAGAATTTAAAGTTTTTTTTGGGAAGGTTGGATCCATAGCAGAAAATTGAAAGAAACTGAAAAGCTTTTTTGGAATTTACAAAATAACGAGAGGATTGAAATGAAGAGAAAGATTGGTATAATGAAATTATGTCAATATTGGGCTCTATTTGTAGGGAATTGAAAACCATGAATTTTGGTATATATATTGTATTTTAATTTTCTTGTTAAAATCATTTTTCTAATCAGATAAGTTTTATAAAATAAAAATCTAAATGGACCAATCAAAAAGTGACATGTAACATAAAGATAGGAATCCAAAGTTGTCAATCCTGGTTCGTGACACGATATAGATTAGTAAAGATTGATAATTTATTTATTTTTATTTTTTTCTTTAAACAATTTTGTCTTACTCACGGTCGGATTGCTCCGGACCGTGAGTAGAGATGGTCTTGTCGGATTGCTCCGGACCGTGAGTAGAGATGGTCTTAGATAGTAGTGCTTCTATTTTTTTATTTGTTTAGTTTTGATTTCTCATATGTGTTCTTATTTAGACCGCACAGTTTTGTGTTTTTTCATTTTATTATTTTATTTGTTTAATTTAACTTTTTAATTTTGAAGTATTACAAATGTTGTATTTTAGTTTTAGAGATTTTGTACATTTTGAATTAACCTTTTCAGTTCTTTATTTTTTATTTAATTAAAAATATTGGAGAAGGGATAAGTGAATAAATTTTTCAATATTTTTAATTATAATATGCTTGAAATTTTAGTTATCAAATATAACATGTAGCATTTTAGTATTATAGATGCCATGTCATCCCTAAATATTTTTTTACTTTTAATTTTAAATATGACATGGTATCTCAGTTCACAATTACTTGGATCATCTCTTTATTATCAGTTTACCTGGTCATAAGACCTTAAATATATGAAAACATTGTTTAATAACCTAAAATAATAATTTTTAAAGTTGGTTTCCCAAAATAGCAATCAAACTAAAGTTTGTTCCGTTTTGATGCAAATTTTCCTCTAAATTAAAGATAACTTAGGGGTTATTTAGGGATTTAACATATCGTTCTCTTCTCTCTCATTAACTCTCTCCATCTCTCATGCCTCAACTGTGAACACCTCATATGATCAATTTATCTATAGACTTTGTGAGTACTTGATAAAATTATATATGTATGGAGTTAGGCTATAGAATTTGGTTTTGTTATGGTTTATTGTGTGCAAAAGTGTTAGCAAAAGTGTTGATGTAGCAGGTGTGCCACAACGAGATGATTGTAGCTTTTGTTAGCTCATGGAAAAATACAGGTGCTCATAATATTGAAGAAGGGAATCTTTTGGAGCTGAAGTCGACAAATTTTGGAGGAAGTAAAGGGAACATAGCTAAAGGGGTGCTAAAAACCCGACCAACCCAACCCAACCCAACCCAACCCAATGTGAAATAACTCAACATGAAACAACCTCATGTCTAATCGAGTTGTAAAATTGTCAAACTGTAGGTATTGGGTTGATATTGGGTTAATATTATTTGAACCAACCCAACCTGATGAACCCGATATCATTTTATTTCTTGGATTTAATATGATTGTTGAGTTTCTATTAATATGTACATTAGACAATTACACTATTATAAAGTGGCGGATCTAGAAATTTTTGTGATTAGGGGCACACTCAAGGGTGTAAAAAAAATTCCAAACTGAACAACGCATCCTAACTAAGACGGTTTCAGGTTATTCGTTGTTCGGCTTAAACAATTCGGTTAATCGAATAAAGATAACTTGTTTTACTTGGTTTCAGTTATACTACTATTTAATATTTTACTACTTCAATTAAAGTGAAAGTAAGTAAAGGCAATACACATTAATACAAAATCCGATTGATTCATAATGGATCAGATAACTAGATGAAGAAACCACTAAATCGATTTGTAAGAAAGCAAATGTTGATATGTGACATTAAACCAAATTGTAAGAAACGTAATAAAAGAGATAATGGAAAGTTGAGAGAGTGAATGGAGATTAGTTTTTATTAGTTGGGGGCCTAAATAATAAATATGGAAATATATCAAGTGGTTCCAAAAAAATTAGCCTCCACAAAGAGATTTTGTTGGGGGCAAGTGCCCCCATCACCCATGCTTTACATCCGCCACTGCTATCATGTATGCTTAAGGATGGAAAAAAAACCTGCACCCGATGGGGAATCCGATGCCCGTACCCGATTTGACCGGGGAATCCCCGAGTTGGCCGGGGACGGGGATGGGGAATCCCCGAATTTAAAAACGGGGATGGGGGCGGGGATGGGAATACCCTTCGGGTCCCCGGCCCCGGCCCTGACCCCGACCCCGGCCCCGAAATATATATATATATATATATATTAAATGTTATCCCGATTTCCAATTTCAATATACAAGATCTTTTCAGCTTATTTTCCCATATTCCCTAATTTAAAATATATATGGAATTTGAAAAGACTACTAGACTTTGGAAAGTGCAAATAATTATAAATTCCTTTTTGGAACTACGAATAGTCCGTTAACGAAAAGAAAAATTAGGAGAGATTCAACAGTTGGAATCCGACGAGACGACGAACGCTACTACTACTAGCATGCATGATGCAAGCCAGCGTTTAGAAATCTCCATTTGTGATTGTGTCTGCAAGTTTTTTGAGTTCAATTCCTCACATTTTCTTGATCGAGAGTGTTTTAGGTAAATAAATTTTCTTTATTCTTGTTATATCAATTGCTTATCTATGATTTTCTTTATCTTGTTGTATCTTCATTTGTTTATGCATGTCATTTCTCAATGTATCATTATTCATCTAGGATTCTTTTGGGTATTGATTTTACTTAGGTTAATAATATATTGTATGAGCTGAAATATAGTTTTATATCATGATATTTTAGCTTTTGAAATACGATGTGAAATATAGTGTATATTACGAATTTTTAGACTAATAAAATATAAGAAGATATTCTTTAGTGTTTTCTATTTACAAAAGACTTTGATTGGTTATGGGTACATAGTTTGTTTGTGATTTTTCTATTTTTTGTTAGAATGACTTCGGAGACGAATAACAATCCAAAACAGTCAACACCAATCGGCAATGCAAATATACAAGATAATGCAACAATTAACAATGTTGAAGAGGTAGTTGACACAAATGCTCAACAACATCCTCAAAATAAGAGAAAAGGAAGTGTGGCGTGGGATCATTTTGTACAGATGACAGTGAATGGACAAGTCAAGGCACAATGTAACCATTGCAGGGCTTTACTTGGAGGTAAATCAAAAAATGGCACTAAACATCTACTCGATCATATGAAAGTGTGCAAAGCTAAGAATCAACCAGACATTCGACAAAGACTCTTGGCAAGCAACTTGAAGTCCGATTTAACGACATACGTTTACAATGAGAAAGATGGACGAAATGCTCTTGCTAAAATGGTCATTTTACACGAGTATCCTTTTGCAATTGTTGATCATATCGGCTTTAAGACTTTTACAAGAACCATTCAACCACTATTCAAGTGTCCTTCTCGCAACACACTGAAGAACGATATCATCAAGTTGTATGAGCAACAAAAAGATCAAGTTATTAAAGATTTGGAAAATAATGGAAGTAGAGTGGCTATTACAACCGATATGTGGACTTCAAGTAATCAAAAGAAAGGGTTTATGGCTATCACGACTCATTTCATTGATAATGAGTGGATTCTAAGAAGTAAAAATCTTAAGGTTATAATATTTATTTTATAAGTTTTTCTAATAACACATTGTGAAATTTATAGAATATATTCAAGTATTGTAATTGAATCTTTTGTCTTTCAATCATGTTTCTTTATGTGCCTTGCCCACATACAAGGGAAGTTCTTACAAATGTGTTGATGGATGTGCTCATGGAATGGAATGTGGATACAAAATTATCAACCATCACTCTTGATAATTGCACGACCAATGATTCAATGATTGGTAAGTTNTTGATGGATGTGCTCATGGAATGGAATGTGGATACAAAATTATCAACCATCACTCTTGATAATTGCACGACCAATGATTCAATGATTGGTAAGTTRAAAGATAAATTGCAAGTAAGTAAGTTGATTCATGATGGAACTCATATTCACATGCGTTGTTGTGCGCATATTTTAAATCTTGTTGTGAAAATTGGGTTGGATGTAATTAAGGTTGCAATAGAAAATGTACGTGAAAGCGTGTTCTTTWGRACKRCAACGCCTAAAAGAGTTGAGAAATTTGAGGAAACATGTAGGCAACTAAAAATAACATACTCTAAGAAATTAGGTTTGGATTGTCCAACTAGATGGAATTCTACTTTTTTGATGCTTAAAACCGCGTTGATGTACAAAGATGTTTTTTTTACACGGTTAAAACAACGTGAGTCACTCTACAAGACCTTGCCAAGTGCACTAGAGTGGGAAAATGCTCAGGTAATTTGTGGGAAGTTGGAGTTATTTTATAAAGTTACTTCAATATTTTCTGGAACAAGATACCCCATAGCTAATTTGTACTTTCCCAAAATTTGTGAGATGAGGTTATCATTATCCAAGTGGCTTATATCTTCTAACAAACTCACAAGTGATATGGCATCTAAAATGATTGATAAGTTTGATGGTTATTGGGGTGTAATTCATGAGTTAATGGGTGTTGCTGCAGTCTTTGACCCAAGAAACAAGTTGGAAATGGTTGAGCTTTATTTTAATCTTATATATCCTAATGATAATAAGAGTCGGATTGAAAAGGTTGAAAGCCTTTGTAAAGACTTGGTAAGTGAATACCAAGAAAAGACCTTACAAAGTGGAAATGAGACAAGAGATAATATGAGGTCAAGTTCTACAAATTCAATAAATGGTGATGAAGATTTGTCTGCTTGGGAAAGACATATTTTATCACAAAGTAGTACTACATGTTGGAATATAATTTCTATTTGGTGTCCTTGGACCATTTATGTAAAGTTTTATGAAATTAAGGATATATTTATAATTCAATATATCTGTGATTGCCATTATGACATATTTAGTCCCTATACTTATGTAATGTTAACATATGATGGATGTGGGTAACATAACAATTACATAAGGGGCTGAACGGTTTCTTTTTGATATACGGTTAGAATCAATCGCTCATCTACATTCTACGCTCTCTCTTTATCGCCGCTTACAGAGAGCATGGAAAATCAACATCACTAATGGATTCCTTGATCACTCCATCCTAATTCCGTATATCCTTAAAGAATCAACAACATCAAATGGCATCATCTTCTTCTACTCCTTCAAATACGGGATTCACACCAAGTAAGTTTTGATGTGTTCTTTTAAATCTTGTGTGAAATTGATATTGAATTGGATGAAATTTGATCCTTATGATTAATGTTTCTCAGCATGTGGTATCAGAGCATGGTTAAATTTCTCTTGTTTCATCCAATTTTGTTTTCTTTGAACCCTAATTTCTGTGAGAACGAACCCTAATTTCTGCTTCAACCGGGTTATTCTATTTCACCTCTTAGAAAGAAAAGAACTTAAAAAGAAAAGGAATTTGTCCATTTTTCGGGGTCTCAAAGGAGATACATAATAGGCATATAGAAATTATTGTACGTCAAATAACATCAAAAGTGTGCGAATACCGGTTATTTTGGAATGTACCGCTTGTGTTGCGGTCAGTGATTGTCGTGGGCCCTTCATTTGCATTACATCGATGTGGATTGAAAGCATTAATAAAACAATTTTTTGATCAAGGAATATTAAAATCGATTCTAATTGACATTTTTTGAATGCATGTGAAAATCGATTTTCTTATTCTCTCATGCTTTAATTGTTTTCGAAACCATTACCAAATTATGTGAATATTGGATAATGGAACAGTGGGTCATCGAAATCTCATGTGGATAATCAAAATACATTTTTATATATGGTTGGAATATTGGAATGCAGCCCCTTATGAATCACAATCTCCCATAATATTAATTATTAATAATTGCCATCACCTCTGTGATTTTGGTTCATGTTTTGAATCACAACCCCTATGTAATATGAAATTTATTCGAATTTGTTCTTCAAAGGGGTAGCTTTCTGTACAAAACCCCACATTTAATTTTCCATGTATGCTTGATTTTGATTTCGTCAAGCTATTTGCTTAGTTTGTTGGATGGCAACTTCTATATTGATTTTGATAACCGGCCCAACGAATGGTTATCTAAATTAATATAAAGGTTTAGTTATGCCATTAATTATATGAAATTGTATGTATTATCACGCAACGAACCCAACGGTTAATTGTTGATAATATGTAATGTATTATTAGCCTTATTTGTATAGACATTGCATTTTGCCTGATAAGTGCAAATTTTATACATTTTTACATCAAATTACCTTTGAGATTAATGTCATTTAGATATTTAAAATATCCATTTTAATTTAAGATGATGTTTAATCTTATGTGACCATTTAAGTTGGAAAAAAAAAGGAGAAAATTGATTGTTGCATTTTGGTTTTTATCATTAGCATCAAACAGCCCAAAATCAGGCCCAAACACAAGYAGCCCAAGTCGTGTAAAAGAAAAGAAAAGAAGAAGAAACAGCAGCAGCCTCCCACGACCAACAGCGAGAGGAAAGCGAGAGAGAGGTCGTGCAGGAGGAGATCGTGGGCAGCGAGAGCAGGAGATCATGGGCGAGTACGAGTGGTAGCAAGGGGCTGTCGGTACAGAAGCAACCGAGAGAGGGATAGCGCACAGCGGCTGTCGATTGAGAGAAAAGAAGGGCTGTTCGAAAGGGGCTGTATATAGGCGAGGCAAGAAGAGAAAAATCAAGGGGGAAATCGAGAGGAACNGATTTGAGCGATACACTTAACCCAAGGAGTGAATCGAGTGTTGCTTTGTTAATCCCATTCGTGAGAGTTCTCGAGATTAGCTTGTGTCTACTTGATTGCGTGTGCATCCTCTTTTCAATACTTTGTTGCAAATCTCAAACTCATGATATGCTATATGTGTTGATATTCTCGTTAGATTCAATTTTTAACTACGTGTTAACTTAAGTCATTGCCGGAACGGACAATGATCTAAGTGTGGGGGAATTTGATAAGTGGAAATTTTATACATTTTTACATCAAATTACCTTGAGATTAATGTCATTTAGATATTTAAAATATCCATTTTAATTTAAGATGATGTTTAATCTTATGTGACCATTTAAGTTGAAAAAAAAGGAGAAAATTGATTGTTGCGTTTTGGTTTTTATCATTAGCATCAAACAGCCCAAAATCAGGCCCAAAGACAAGCAGCCCAAGTCGTGTAAAAGAAAAGAAAAGAAGAAGAAACAGCAGCAGCCCAAGGCTGCTGCCCACGACCAACAGCGAGAGGAAAGCGAGAGAGAGGTCGTGCAGCAGGAGATCGTGGGCAGCGAGAGCAGGAGATCATGGGCGAGTATGAGTGGTCGCAAGGGGCTGTCGGTACAGAAGCAACCGAGAGAGGGATAGCGCACAGCGGCTGTCGATTGAAAGAAAAGAAGGGCTGTTCGAAAGGGGCTGCATATAGGCGAGGCAAGAAGAGAAAAATCAAGGGGGAAATCGAGAGGAACGAGAGGCGAGGCAGCAGGTCATCGAGCGACACAACAGGTTATCGAAGGGCTGTTCGATTGGAGCCGKTCGCGAGAGAAATAGAAAAGTGAGAGGGAAATCGAGAGGGGCTGTTATCGAGCAGTCGAGAAAGAGGACAGCAGCAAGCTGTCGATTGAGAGCTGTCTATCTAGGGCTGTCAATTGGAGGAGAAGAAGGCTGTAAAATCGAGCAGCAGGCTGTCGATTGGAAGCAGTCGGCCGAGAAGAAACTGTCGATACAGAGGAGAGGAACGAGRGGCTGTTCAATTGTCTGCCAGGTAGCAAACAGCAGTCGGGTGAGAGGGAGAATTAGAGGACTAATCAAGATTTTCAAAAGGATTGGTCAGGACTGGATTCGGTGAAGAAACAGTAAGCTTATTTCCAGATTTTGAAGACAAATTTCAGGTTCCTTCACCAACTCTTAAATTCAATCATTTTGTAAGTTTCTTAGTTCCAGRCATGAGTAGCTAATTTTTATTTCTAGTAATGGGTTTATAATCGACTTGAAATTTGGATGAGTTGAGACTCAATTTTTTTTCAGAATCGATTGAATGCATTTGTACAATCTTTGAATTTCAGTCCTATGCATTTTAAGTTAGAATTTGTGAGTTGGATCCCTTGCTTTTTCTGATTTGAACTCGTTATGCTAGAGGAATTTTTGAATACGTAATTGTTCTTAGGTTTCTTGGAGTAGCAAGCGATACCTAATTGATGCATGTGTGTTAGTTGCAAGTGTCGTAAGGTTGTACAATCTAACCCAAATAATCGGYGTCCRATTGTTGGTTAGGTTTGGTATTTGTTGGTCCTAATGCGATTAGCAATTGAACTCTAAGTCCTTGACTAGACTAGATTAGCTAATTAGAGATTAGTTGTAAAGCGTTTTATACTAATCGTGCTTTTGTAACAAATGAGACATTGGCGC